GAGAGCCGGTTCCGGAAGGCCCCGCCGCGGCGGGTCGGCCCCGTTTCATCTCTCTTCTCCCCGGCAGGGAGCTAGCGTACCAGATAGCCGAGCAGTTCCGCGTCCTGGGGAAGCCCCTCGGCCTGAAGGACTGCGTGGTGGTGGGCGGCCTGGGTGAGTGCTGCTGCACGGGTGTCAAAGCCTCCACCGTTCTTCTCCGGCCCCGGTATGGTGGGGTGGGGAAAGAGCAGAGCACCCGGGGAGGTTCCCTTTCCACAGGGTTTGTTTTCTGTGTGCTGAGGAGCTGTTATCCAGTCCCCAAGGCAGCGGAGGCTGGTGGGAATAAGGAGAATGAAGTTTTCCAGCTTTACAGACCAAACGATTTTGGTGTCCGTGTTCAGTTGCCCATAACTCGGCTCTGTGGTTCTTGGTGCAGACATGGTGGCACAGGCACTGGAGCTCTCCCGTAAACCCCACGTTGTCATCGCTACGCCCGGCAGGCTGGCAGATCACCTCCGCAGTTCCAACACTTTCAGCCTTAAAAAACTAAAGTTCTTGGTAAGGCAATTTTCTAGAGTTTTTTTTTTAATGCTGTTAAGGTTTCCGGCTGCGTAGGTATGCGTGCAGGTTTATTTTAATTTATTTCTGGCTGTGCCTAGGTTTTGGATGAAGCTGACCGGTTGTTGGAGCAGGGCTCTGCTGACTTCACCGCGGACCTGGAGGTGATTCTAGAGGCTGTTCCGGCACGCAGACAAACGTTGCTGTTCAGCGCCACGCTAACCGATACGCTGAAAGAGCTGAAGAGCCTGGCCTCAAACAGACCATTCTTCTGGGAGGCTGTGTCCGAGTAAGTCTTCATCCACTCTACTGAGCAGATGAGAATCCCATTGCCTCTCCGTTGTCTTTTCTCTTCACTGTTTTTCTCTTATGTTCCATCTTCACTTGCCAAACCGGTGCTTCCTGGTGCTTTGCCTTCCCCTCCCGACAGGGTGCGGACAGTGGATGAATTGGACCAACGCTACTTACTTGTGCCCGAAGCAATCAAGGATGCGTACCTTGTCCATTTAATTCAGACCTTTCATGACGAGCACAGCGACTGGGCTATTATTATCTTTACCAAAACCTGCAAGTGAGTGGCATTATTCCTCGTGATTGCTCTCAATGTATATGTGACTTTAGATTTCTAGTTGAGACTCCGAATTCCCACTTTATCGGGTTTTAGGCTGGGATGGTATTTGGTTCCTTAGTCCATTCTGAAATTTGGTAGAGAAAGACCTTTTCCTTTGAGCAATCATAGGGCTGAGCGGGTGTGGGGTGGGTGTCCCATTCCCTACCTCCGTCAGAGCGCTTCAGTAACTAACAGCTTTGTGGTAGTTGTAGTGCGAGGGCTTCCCAAGGAACCCCACCTCTGTCCTGATCCATCAGCTTTATGTTTCCCTGTTATATTCTGATTATTATTATTATTTTTACTTCCTTCAAGGGACTGCCAGGTGTTGAACATGATGCTTAAGAAATACAACTTCCCTTCTGTAGCTCTGCATTCCATGATGAAACAGGTGAGTGACGGACAGATCTGGGAGATGGATGCTTCAGCTGCATCCCCGAGCCAGACATTTGTCCAGGTCCTACAGCTCCCGTGCATCACAACATCCCTCATACAGACTTTTCTCTTTACAGCGGCAACGATTTGCAGCTTTAGCAAAGTTCAAGTCCAGCATCTTTAAGATTCTCATTGCCACTGATGTTGCTGCCAGGTAAGGGACACGATTAGGACAAGAGGAAATGGCCTTAAGATGCTCCAGGGGAGGTTTAGGATGGATATTAGGAAAAACTTCTTCACAGAAAGGGTTATCAACCATTGGAACAGGCTGCGCAGGGAAGTGATGGAATCGCCATCCCTGGAGGCATTTAAGAGATAGGTAGGTGTGGTGCTGAGGGACATGGTTTAGTGGTGCTTTGGGCAGTGTTAGGTTAAGGGTTGGACTTGATGATCTTAAAGGTCCCTTCCAACCTAGACAATTCTATGATTAAGGGGAAAAACATGGTTTCTGTTGCCAAAGGTTTTAAGCCTGCTTCTTAAGCACCAGAACCACTGTGGAGATTAGGCTGGGTTTAGCAAGAGGAGAGCTTTCAATCCCCTGCCTTGAGTAGGACAGGGTTGTTCACTTCCATTGCAGAACACCTCTGAGCGGTGTTTTGGAGCCCGCTTGTACGTGATGGAGCTCTGATCCTGGCTTGTTCTGCTGCAGCAGACGTGTGTGTGTTCTAGCAGGGGAATGATTTCCATGAGGCTTAGCGTGGTCTCTGGGTCTAGGAGGGAGCAGCAGGCTGCAAGGTGACATTGTGTTTTGTGACTGTTGGAGATTGCATGAAGAGAGAGTTTGTCCTAGAATTGTCCTGAGCCAATAAAAACTATATTAGTGAGAATACGGGGCTCTTGGGAGAAAGCAGAGGACAGGAACTAAAACTGCGTGTATT